ATATATATATATATATATAAATGTCATTCCTGTTTGTGTAGGAAAAACTCTAGTTGGTTTCTGTCAAGGTAACTAGTTGTCTGTTGATTTCATGTCTAGGTAACTGATTGTCTGTTGATTCTAATGTCTAGGTAAATGGTTGTCTATTGATTCCATGTCTATAGGTAACTGGTTGTCTTTTGATTCTATGTCTAGGTAAATGGTTGTCTGTTGATTCCATGTCTATAGGTAAATGGTTGTCTGTTGATTCCATGTCTAGGTAACTGGCTGTCTGTTTAATAACTCCTCCGCGGCACATACATGAAACTAACATTTCACTTTCTCCATATATCCTCAGTTTTCCGGCCAGATAACGGGGCCTCAGTCCGGCCGTTCCCCAGTGTCCCCATGCTACACGACCAGACGGGCACCAATGTCGGAGGATCCCCGTCGGGGGGAGCCGGTTCAATGCTGCCCTCGTTCGGGTTCACGCAGGAGCAGGTGGCCTGCGTATGCGAGGTCCTCCAGCAGGGGGGCAACATCGACCGACTCGCCAGGTTCCTGTGGTCGCTGCCGGCCTGCGAGCACCTTCACAAGAACGAGAGCGTGCTCAAGGCCAAGGCCGTGGTGGCTTTTCACCGGGGCAACTTCAAGGAGCTGTACAAGATCCTCGAGAACAACCAGTTCTCTCCCCACAACCACCCCAAGCTGCAGGCCCTGTGGCTGAAGGCGCATTACGTGGAGGCGGAGAAACTGCGGGGCAGGCCGCTGGGCGCCGTCGGGAAATACCGGGTCAGGAGGAAATTCCCCCTCCCCAGGACCATCTGGGACGGGGAGGAAACGAGCTACTGTTTCAAGGAGAAATCCAGGACTGTTTTACGGGAATGGTACTCGCACAATCCTTACCCTTCTCCCAGGGAAAAACGGGAGTTGGCAGAGGCGACAGGGCTGACAACAACGCAAGTCAGCAACTGGTTCAAGAATAGACGACAGCGGGACAGGGCGGCCGAGGCAAAAGACAGGTGAGCTGGCTTTGTTAACTCTCGGATAATCTATTTTTGTTAACTTTCAACTATATACCTTTGTTAAATTTCAACGGTACAATTTTGTAAAATTTTCTTTCCACATTTTTTGTGACTTGTAAATTACCCAGATTGTATGCGTCCGTTGCAGTAGTTGTTATGACCTGGTTAGATCTCAATCTGACGCAGTCATCGTTTACTATATTTTTAAGAGTGTTGGACTGCCATAAAGCTTTAAACTAGATTAACTAGACACGAACAATTTGTGTCACTATAAGAATATATTTTAAGCTTTAATCATAGTTTTACATAATAGGATCTATATGGAGAATAAATTAATAACAAGATTTGATACGTTGACTCCATACGGGATAAACCAAATCCACAATTTCACGTAACAGCCACGTCTTTTGCCTGTTTTTTTTTTCTTTAAATTTTACTCCAAATCACTTCCTCTCCATTTTTCTATTTTTTTTTAAAATGTGTTTCTATTTTACTCCAAATCACATCGTCTCCATTTTTCTATTTTTTTTTTAAATGTGTTTCTATCTGTTTTTTTTTTTTTTCGCCCACTCCTGTTTTTTTCTCTCTTTTTTTTTTAGGCAATATGTAAATATATTTATATTTTTTAAATTCTTTTTTTACTTTTTTTAATGTTTTT